CCACTGCCACTAGTTACTATGTACCAGTTGCTACCATTGGTCAGCTACCGACTAACTACCACCAATGACCTACAACCTATTGCCAATTGCCTGCTTACCAGCTGCCCGCTTCCAATTGCTCGCATCCGACTAGCACCTTCCACGTACTGACCACTAACAAACTACCCACCTGCCCACTACCAATTGTGACGTGCTCGGTACGACATGCCACCTACCTACCACCTAGTAGTACAACCTTCTACCCATTGCCTCCTATCTGCTACATGCGAGCGTCGACATGCTTCTAGCTCCAACAGCCCACTACGCACAGCTAGTTACATATGATAGTTTAGACGCTTCGCGTACCCCCATCAGCCCGTCCAGAAACGATGACCAGACGAACTGCCTTGATCAGGTATGTGGAGGAGCATGTAGTGGAATAAGGGGCTGAGTAAGACGTCATACCCCAAGAGTGGGAGGATGGAATCGGAGGAGTAAGAGGAGGAGGAGGAGGAGGAGGAAAAGGAGAAGGGAGAGGGGTAGGAGGGACGGAGGAGGAAGAGACGGAGGAGGAGGAGGAGGCGGAGGAGGAGGAGGAGGAGAAGGAGGAGGAGGAGGAGGAGGAGGAGAAGGAGGAGGAGGAATAGGTGGATGAGGAACATGAGGAGGAGGAGGAGGAGGGGGAGGAGGGGAGGAGGAGGACGAGGAGGAGGAGGAGGAGGAGGAGGAGGAGGAGGAGGAGGAGGAGAAGGTGGAGGAGGACGAGCAGAAAAGCCAGAGGCCTCCTGGATGATTCTCGGAGTCTCTTCGGATGTCTCTTGACAGCTTTTTGTAGGCCTCTTGTTGCGTCTGGGGGGCCTCTTGGCGGTCTTTGGGGCCTCTTGAAGCGTCTTGGGTGCCTCGGGGGAGCCTCTTGGGGGGCTCTTCGGTGCCTCTCGGGGACTTTTCGGGGGCCTCTTGGGGCCTCCTGGGCGCCTCTGGGGGCACTCTTGGGGGTTTTGAGGGCCATCTTGGGGCCATCTTGGAGGAGTTCGACCAAAGAAGGGGGGGGGGGACCATATAAGCGCCCCACCCAGGATGCCTAAAGGGGCCCGAAGCCTGGGTAAGATCAGTTGCTATTGTCTTATCGCCGAGGCCGTCCTGGAAGCTCCAACGACCCGCGAGCCCCTCCCGCATCCCGCCCCGCTGGCACGGCCCCAGCTGCCGTGGGCGCAGGGGCCTGGCGGCGCCCTGGCGTCTCCGCGGACCGCGGCCGCGGCCGCGGCGGTGGCGACGAGGCCGGCCATCGATGCGGCGTCCGCCTCCCAGCTCGCCCACCTCTGGCTCAGAGGACCCGGACCACGACGGCAGGTCCATCTTGAAGAGCGGAAGCCGGCAGAAGCGCAAACTTTCGACGGCCCCGCGGGGATGTCTTGGATCCGCGCCCGGCGGCGCCTCTCGCGCCGCCCCTGGCGCGCTCCGCGCGCCAGGGGTCGAGCGCGGATCCAAGACACCCGCGCGCACTGGCAAACATTTAGGTTTACGCGGTTTTGTTTGCTCCCCTTCTCGGAGCACGACGGCAGGTCCTTCGCTGCCTTCGGCCTCTGGGGGGCCCTCACTGGCCCTCGGGCCAGTCAGGGCACGGCTCGGGAGGGGAAACCAGCCCCAGGGAAGGGGTCCAGGCTGCTGGCGGCCCAACGCCACGAAGCGTGCGTGGCGTCGGGGGGCCATAGTAGTCCCGGGGGGAAGAGACGCCCTGACCGCTGCAGTGCGCTCCCGAGGCTCTCCGCTGTGCCGTGCTCCGCCCGGGCTCCAGCGGCAGGGGCCCCCCGACGCGCCGGGAGCGCACCCCCGCGCCGAGCGCCTCGCAGCCGGGGCGCCCCACCTAACCTGCATGGCCGGGGCGGCCGTGGGGCCGCCTAGGGCGGCGGGGCCCCGGCGGCGGGCCGCGAGGGCGGTGGGTGGGTCGGGGCGTCCGGCGGGGTGGCCCCCCGCCTGGGCGGCATGCCTGCCGCCGTGGTGGCCCGCCGGGGGGCCGGCGTCGCCCGCTGGGGGCCCCAAGGGCTCGAGGGGGCCCAGGCTGAAGTCGGGCCTGTGCCTCTACGAGAGGAGCACTCAACCAGATTCAAGCAATGCTCTGGGGACGTTTTCCTTTTTGCCATTTTGGTGTATGTTTGACGATCTTTTCTTTTTCGCCCCAAATCCCCCTGTAGGAGGACAGGCCCGCCTCAAGCCCAGGCCACGCCGCTGGGGATGGGGATCCTTGAAGCGATGCCCAGAGCAGACGGAGGGGGGGCTCCCTGGGCTCCAGAGATCCGATGCAGTTGCACTTCTCTTCTCGAGATGGTGGCCCTGGAGGTCTGGACCCCTTCCTCCGCATCCTCCCCCTCCTCCGCCTCCTCCGCCTCCTCCTCCTCCTCCTCCTCCTCCTCCTCCTCCTCCTCCTCCGCCTCCTCCTCCTCCTCCCCTCTTCTGTCGAAGGGCGAAAACGGCACAAGCACAGTTACTCCGAGCTCCGCGCGGAGTTTTTGGGTCGGCGTTGGGGCCCCCCCGCCAGCGCCTCCGGCGCCGCCCCCTTGCGCGCTCCGCGCGCAAGGGCGGGTGGGGGTCCAGGGCCGCTCCAGGAACTCCGCGCGGACCTCTGGGAGAGCGTGTTGACGCCATTGCTTGCTCCTCGATTCTTCCGGGCCTTCCTTTTGTCCCGAGTCTCGCTTCCTGGCCCCCCGACTTCCGCCACTGTCGTTTGTGCCATCCGCGGCCCCAGCGGTCCCGCGACCTCTTCTCCCGGGCAGCTCTGCGCCCCCGACCCACCTCTGCTTCGAGGCTCCCCCAGGTGAGCGACGCACGGGAACCTCCTCCTCCTCCTCCTCCTCCTAGTCCTCCTCCTCCTCCTCCTCCTCCTCCTCCTCCTCCTCCTCCTCCTCCTCCTCCTCCTCCTCCTCCTCCTCCTCCTCCCCCTCCTCCGCCTCCTCCTCCTCGGGGCGGCCTGCGCCGGCACTGGCGCGTACACGCGGCCCGCGTCCGGTCGCGCGTGGGCGCCCTTTGTCTTCCATATGTGGCGTGCCGCGCCGGCGGCCCGTGTGCAAGCCGTCGCGTGAGGTCCCCGCGTCATCTCGCGTACGCCTTAGGCGATGCTTAAGAAAACCCAAGTTTTCGGCCAGAGTCTCGATTATTCTTAACGTTTCAATGTAAATCCTAAGATTTGAATCGACATTTTGGGTTTTCGTTCAAGTTCTGAGACTATGAATTTCTTAACCCATGATTTCTTAAGCATATCGCAGGGTGTAAGACCCGTGCTCGGTCGTCGCTCAAGTGGGGCCCGAGCAGGTGGGGTCAGAGGGTGGCGCCGCAGTGCGGATGCATCGCTGGTGCGGCTCGATGTGCAGCCCGCTTTTCTCCATGCCGGCGTCGCCGACGTGCCGCCGACGCATCGGCGATGCGGGGAGAGGTCCTCCGGCCCTGTCTGTTTTTGGACCCCCTCTCGGAGGCCTCTGTGGGTGGCCCCGGTGCCCGAGGACGGGGCCCCATGAGGCCGAAGTCGAGGAGCGACGCCGGGGCGGAACGAGGAGCGAGCCATCGGCACGAGGGTCGACTGCACGTGAGAGTGACCCTTCGCCGGAGTGACCTTTGGCAGGGGGCCCATTGGGGTCCCCGAGCGCCGAGCGCGAGGCGGCAGTGGCGTCTGGCGCGCTTGCGTATTTGGCCCCCCCGCGGCCCCCCAGAGGCCGCGCACCAGAGGTCACTCTCACCCAGGGCCACTCCTGCGTGTCGCCGAGAGGGGGCCCGAGGGGTCTTGCGCTGTAGCCCCGCGTGCGCGCGCGCGTGGCCGGAGGAGGAGCGGCGTGCCCGCGGGGCGCGCGGGGGGAGGGCGCGCCCAGGAGGCGGACCGCCCGGGCCTGCTCGCAGCTTCGCCGCCTCGGGTCCCCCTGCCTCTCCCTTGCGGGGCCCAAAAATGGACACCACCACCACCTCCCTCGCCCCCTCCATCTCCCAGGAACGAGGAGAGGAAGAGGAGGGTAGAGGAGAGAGGAGGAATCGACGTGGTGGTGGTGGTGGTGTATATTCTTTGGGTCCCCATCCCTCCCCGCCCCCCCTCGCCGGAGGTCCTGACCCCCCCTTGTCAAAGCAACGCAACGCTTTCACGTGGCATCGAGGAGGATCGTCTGGAGGACTTCACCCTGGGCGGCTGGGTTTTCAGCCCGCTTCCTATCCCGACTGCCCCCAGGTCCCGAAGCGGTGAAACACCGAGGGTGACGAAGACAAACATTCCGACGAGGAAAGTTGCAGCACTATTCCAGGGCAGTTTGGGGAGCACGCCGTCGTGCTTTCCCCCGCCGCGGAGTCTGCAGGAGGCGCTCGTGACGGCATTCCATGCCCGTCCTGAATCCCCTGGCCATGCGCCTGACCACGCCTATCCTGAAGCCAGGAGCGTTGTGTGTGTGTGTGTGAGTGTGTGTGTGTGTGTGCACGTATACCTCCCTGGCCAAGCCAGAAGGGCGTTTACGCCGCTGGCGGTCCCAGGATGGGCCTGACCAGGGGCAGTGGATACGCGTAGATCTCGTCGCCCCAAGACCCTGGGGAGCACTCCGCCGCACCTCTCCCCTGCCGCAAGGCACGTACCGTCGGAGGTCATGGCGAGCACTCCCCCGCGATCCCACGCCACAAAACATTGGCACCTCGTCCCAGGTCACAGCCAGAGTCCCGGACCCCATCTTTCCTGCCCCGTTTCTCGAGCCAGAGCGACCTGTGAGGGCCCCGGGGGCCCGACAGCGGGCGAAGGCGGTTGGCTCGAACAAAAAAGGGAGGCGCCAGGAGGAGGAGGAGGAGGAGGAGGCGGAGGAGGAGGAGGCGGAGGAGGAGGAGGAGGAGGAGGAAGGAGGAGGAGGAGGAGGAGGAGGAGGAGGAGGAAGAGGAGGAGGAGGGGGAGGAGGAGGAGGAGGAGGAGGATCGAGGAGGAGGATCGAGGAGGGCCGCCGCGGGGGCGGCCGAGGGGGCGGCCGGGGGCAACCCGTCGCGCGTTCCCCCCGCCGTCGGGCCCGCAGGAGGCGCTTGTCACGGCCGTGGGCCCGTCCTACGCGCCCCGGCAGTTCATCGTCGGCGCCGCCACGCGCGAGGCCCGCGGCGCCGCGGTGCCCCCCGCTCAGGAGGGGAGCAAAAAGCACAGGCACAATGAATCGTCGAGATGCCCCAGGACATGTGGGAAAACGTGTGGGAAATAGATGGGGAGTGGGGGGGAAGCCGACAGTCCAGGAAAGTTTTGGAAAACGCGGGGAGTCCTGTTTTTTTGTGTCTGTCTGTTTGTGAGTCCCAGGGCCCCCTTCACCTGCCGGGCGGGATCGGGGGGGTCTGGGCCCCCCCGATGCGACCGCGCACGGCTGCAAGCGTGGCCCTTCGCCGGAGGGACCTGCGGTGCGGGCCCAGGCCCACGCGGGGTCCCCCCCGCCACTTGCCTGCTGCACGCTCGGATGGGGCGCTCCCGCGGCCCCCTCTCGCAGGCGATTTCTCTCCCCCAATCCCCGACTTCCGCCAGAAAAGTTTGGTCGCTCAGAAAAGGGGAGGAATCTTGGGATACATCCCGAGGGGGCTATTCGGACGCACCCCTATCGAGAATGGACACCCCCCCATCGTATATCCCAGGGTTAGGCCCCAAATTTCTGGTCCATTCGGAAACCCCACGAAGCCTGGGATAGGGGTCGACATATCCCCTGTTACCCTCAGGCCGCGCACCAAAGGTCACTCCTGCCGGGGCCCAGGGTCGCCTTCGCGTGCAGGCGACGGATGGGGGCTAGAGGGGGAATCGGAGGGTCACGCCGCAGCGCCGATGCATCGCCGAGGCGGCTCGATGTCCAGCCCGATTTTCCCCACGCCGACGGTGCCGATGCATCGGCGACGCATTCGCGATTCATCGGCGATGCTGCGCGATCTTCTGACCCTGTCACCCCATCTACTCGGCCCCCACCTAGAAGGCCTGCGCTGGCGGGAGAGGCCAAGTCATCTGGCAGCTCGAGGCAATCGCGACGTTTCCGGTGCCCCACCCGGCAGCTTGGGGTTGGAGTCGGCTAGGAGTCTGAGGTGGCTCAGCACTGGTTGCGGCCACCAGGAAAGGGGGAAAAGGTTCGAAGCTCTGGGTTCGAGAAGGTTTTGTTTGCCTTCTTCGGCCTCCGCGGGGCGCTTCCGTGCCCCTGGACAATCAACAACAGATCCGGGGTGACCAACTTCACCAGGTGGATCCCAGGAGGGGTCCGGGGGCCTTTTCTGACTTGACCTTCTTCGTCGGGGCCCAACCAGCTCAGACTTCCTGGCCGCCTCCAAGGTTGGGGTTGTCAGACTTGCAATGAGGACGCGCATCAAGAAACCATCTGCTTAATCCGTAGCCATTTTGGCTCAAGCCGTTGTGGCTCCCTGGACACTCTTTTGATACTTCATTGTAGCCGCCCAGTTGCGCTACCGAAGAAAGTGCACATGCGTTACATGTCCTGGCTGCTCTTTGCCTACGCTGCGGGCGCGTCTGCTGTTCAAGTCCAGGGGCCAAAGCAGAGCACCACGCGTGTCTTGTTGTTCGGCTGTTCTGTGGACCGCAACGCGATCGAAGGTTATTGTGGCGCCAATCTCGAGGCCAACAATTTCTTGCAGACCCGCTGGTGTAGCGATACGACCTACAACATAAGGATGGGCTTTATGTTCCACCCCGGCGTGGGATACTATGGGGATCTGAAGAAACCGTTCCACAGCACTTGGTACAAGGGTGCCCATGCCTATGCGGGAGCTTACTCGACACGCGAAATCCTGAGGAATCACGCGAGTTCGACGTCATGGGCCATGCTCGGGGGCCCCCCCGACCTGGTGGTGGTGGATAGCTCCCTGTGGGATCTGGCTGTGTGGAGGCAGGAAGACAAAAAGCAGGTGTCCAGAGAGCGCGTGCGGCAGTGGTGTCAGCACGACCTGCCCGGCCTGCTGGAACTCGTGACGGAGAAGTTCCCGACGAGCCGCATCGCCTTCAGGACTGCCCCGACGATGGGCGCCCTGGCGCCAGGGGAGAAGGGGGGGCTCGAACAGTTTAATGCGCAGGAGATCGAACTCCTGTACGATTGCATCACCTCTTCCACGACCGAGGGGAAGCTGCTCGGCAAGTACGAGATCATCGACTACCATGCGATTCTGCAGAAGCTCGTCGACCGCGACATGCCTGGCGCGTTCCTGGGTGACGGCTTCCACCCTGGCTGGTTCCCCTCGGCACTCTACATCAACGAGGTCCTCCGCCGGGTCGGCGCGAAGCCGACGGACCCCCCCGAGCCGCAGAGCGAGGAGACGGGCGGGGCGACGCCGGGGAGCGAGGGGGCGAGCGGCACCTCTCCAGGCAAGACAGCGAGCCGAGAGCTCCCACCGCAGGGCCAGTTCGGGCTATTCTGATCTTGCCTTGCCGCGCAAGTAGTCGAAGAAGAAAAAACGCCATGAACATGCACTGTTGGCGCTCCGCGCGGATGTCTTGGATCTGCGCCTGGCCCCCCTGGCGGAGCCTCCGGCGCCGCCCTTGGCGCGCGAAGCGCGCCAGGGAGGGGGGGTCCAGCGCAGATCCAAGAACTCCGCGCGGAGCGCCTAACGTTTATGTTTCTGGCGTTTTTCCTTCTTCTAACTAGGGCGAGTATTTGCCGCAATCGCGTGAGCATCCCCCGTGCAGCGAGCCGAGAGCTCCCAGCGCAGGGCCAGATCGGGCCATTCTGATCTCGCCTTCCCGTGCAGATAGGGCGAGCATGTGCCGCCATCGCGTGAGCATCCCCTGCGGCGAGCCGAGGGCTCCCAGCGCAGGGCCAGATCGGCCATTCCGATCTTGCCCATCGTGCAGCTGGGGCGAGTGTCCGCCGCAATCGCGTGAGTATCCCTGCGTGCTCCTGACCTGGAGGTCCAGCAGCTCCGACGGGAAACAACAACATCTGCTCAACACTGAGGTGCCCCTGGATTTCTTCGCTCCGCGCGCTGCTCGGTCACTTCCCGCGGCCGTTCAAGAAGCTGCTGCGTTCAGGTTGCTCTGGGTTCTACCCCAGGTGTCTCTCCCGCGCGGGTTTCAGGGTTGGGTTTCTTGCGAGGGTTCCTTGCGGCGTGTCCCAAACCCGGATAGCAGGGTGCAGAAGCTTCTGGGAGGTTCTTCGAGGGAGCTCTGGCAGCTCCGGGAAGGAGCTCCTGGGAAGTGTGACGGCACACCTATTGAGAACTAGCTTGAACAGATTTTCCGGGACAAGTTAGAGGCTCAAGCAGGGCGTTGCGAGGTGTATTGTGTATTGACGGAAGCCGGAAAGAGCTCCAGGGCTTCCCCACTGCCAGCTGGCTTCTAACCTCCAACCCTCTCAGCCCTCCAGGGGCGGGGGCGATCCGCAGACTGCAGAGAAGAGGGCCCCCGAGCGACGGGGTCCTGCTGGCTCCTGGCTTCCCCACGGTGCCGCGGTCGAAGAGCGCGCCCGTGCCGCGGTGGAGTGGCCCGCGGCGCGGCTGCCCGTGCAAGGGGCGTATCTGCTGCCTTCCCGCCAGTCGCCTGTCCCCTCCCGGGGCTCACTTCGATTCCACCGGGTCGATTCGGCTTCGGTTTCGATGGCTTCCGAGCCGCGACGACTTCGGAGCCCGATGTGGGCCACGACTCTGCTTCCACGGGGGACTGCCAGCCTGCCGATTTCCGCCGACTCGGCTGCCCCCGACTCGGCTGCCGACCGTTGATCCGCTTCCTTTCGATCGCCCGTCCGGCTTGTCGACTCGGTGCTGGGCTCTCCTGCCTGCTGCACGACCTCTCGCGAACCACAATGACAGAACCAACACAGTCGGGCCCTCCTCTCCTAAGGGTGAAAGACTGCGTGGATTTTTTGACTGGTCTCCAATTATCGCGCGATCCGCCAGCAAAATCGTCGCCGACCTTCTTAGGGCTCGGAGAGCGTGAAACACGGGGTCCGCGGATCTATACATATCCACTGCCCCCTGGCCGGGCCCTCCCTGGGCCCAGTAGCGGTGTATACGCCCTCCTGGCCAAGCCAGGAGGGCGTGGCGTATACACTGCTGCTGGATTCAGGATGGGCCTGGTCAGGGAGCAGTGGATCTGTATCGATTTCGTCGCCCTAAAACACGGGGGCCGCGACCAAGATGTCGTGGGATTCTGTCGACGCTGGTCTCGGTCGTGGTCCATGCCGGCTGCCGCCGATCCGTGGGGATCATCCACGAGTTGACTCAGGAGGGAAAAAAAACACACAGACACAATGAATCGTCGATCCCCCAGAAAATATGGGAAAATATGGGAAGTGGGGGGGAAGACAAAACCCCAGAAAATATGGGAAAATATGGCGAATCCTTTTATTTGTGTGTATTTATTTGTGTGTTCTGGGGGCCCTTCATTGACGCCGACCAAGAGGAACCGTGACCAAGATCATCACCTGCGTTTCGCGTTCAATCTTGGTCATGGTCCTTATTTCCCCCCCTCCAGATGCTCCGCCGTCTTTTAGCTTGGCCCCACCGTCAGATGGGACGGGCGCGGCTCAACGAGCTGCTGGCCACCCTCCCCCGAGCAACATTGTCGGCTTTGGCAAGACTTAGGACGGGGGGCGGACCACCCGTAGGTGGCTGCACAGTGTCAGCACGTCGTCGAGCCCTTGTGTCTTCGGCTGCCTGGCCAGCGATTGCGAAGGCGCGGAGGACGCGATGCCAGGCTGCAGAACCTGTGTACTCGCATGGTGTGGGCGATATGCTCTGCCTGGCACGCGCGCATCCCGGTCCGTGAGGGGTTGCTAGACTGTTGCGGACTTCGGAGCCCGACTCCGGGGAGGCCCTGAGGATGGCCACGGAGCGGGTCGCGACTTGTCTTCAGTCTCACAAAGTCCAGGCCAAGGCGTTTCCTCGGGCAACGGACCCTGAGAGTGCTCTGAACTGTGCCAGGCTGCCAGGGCAGCCAGGCCTGTCCTCTTACAGGCCTGTCGGAATGCAAAGAGCATGACTGCCTAGCGTGGACTTGTTGGTGCATCCTTATGCACGGGAGGCATATACCTGGAGTGCCTCGCCTTCGAGGGGTTGATGTGCTGGCGTCTTCTCGTGAGTGGAAGCAAGCAGATGCAGCAAGGCGTGGGCGGGTCCGCCAGCGGAG